CTTTCCTTTCCTTTCCTTTCCTTTCCTTTCCTTTCCTTTCCTTTCCTTTTCCTTTTCTTCAGGTTTTTTCTCCAGTTTCTGCGGCTAGATCCGACTTCGTGCGCAATGAGTGTCTGGACATTGACTGGGTGGGATGTTTAAGACTACTTGGGAAATGGGGTCAAAGTGAAAATCATTTTTTATTATAGTGTCACTCATTCCAATGCCAAGGCAGTCCATTTCTCTTCTTTGTGGTAAATAGCGTAACAAAAAAACATATTCTTCATATTTCTTCACTCATCATGCCTCTATATTGTTTTGCCCACAGACTCTTAAGCAGCAACAGAATTACATCCGTTGATGTCAATGCCTTCACTGGTTTATCAGCTCTTAAATACCTGTGAGTATAACAACGAAAAAACCTATTGTTCTTTTCCAGACTTGTATATTCTGAAAGGTCATTCGCTGGCTATTTACGACATATTCCTGAAATTTTTGACTTGACACCCTAAAGCCAAAACGAGCAAAGGCCAGGGGGAATGGTAATGAGACTAGCAGGAATGTGCCGGCATTTACTTTCCGTCTGAAAAAAACCGAGATTTCTTTCGTATTTTTTTTCTATTCCCTTGAACCTCGGATTCCAAGTCTTCCAAATGATTTATTTTGTGATTTAGAAGGCTAATGTTTTTGATAGTATTTATATTAAACTTTTTCGACCGAATATCATCATTAGAATAAGACTACGTTTAATGAAATACCACCAAAGAATTTACCAAATTTAGCCTTTTAAAATCATTCATAAAAGCATCTAATTACTGGAATGTGTAAAATTGGGATTCAACGTGCGAATAATTGCGATAACGTTTGTTTTTTAAGAAGGAGTAAGACAAGTAACAGAAGATTCCATACTGGCTACGCATTCCTAGATATTTGCGCATTAATTACCCAGATGTCAAAAAGCGCAATGTCTATGGGAAACGCATAGCTCCTTGTTAACGACAGAACAATTTAACAAGCTTGACAGAATGAGTGTCAACTAGAAAACTGCGCGCAACTCGCGCGGAGAATAAGATAGTAATCTCATTTGATATTATCTTAATTGCGCGTCAGGCTGATATATTGTAAGCTTGATGGCATGCGCTTGGCACGGAACAATTAACATGCGGTTAGTCATGAAATTAGTCGTAAAATTTGATTGGGCAGTAACACCCCTCCCCCGCCAATCAACACCCTCTTGGGAAATTCTATCTTGGATAGGTAGGCGGCCCTGCAAATCAAAATAAACCAATTAAAAACCCAAGGCACAGACATGCTGTGCCGTGACCGATTTTGATTGGCTGCGCAATAATTTCGCGCGCTGTGATAGGTTTGCCTTGTTTATCCCATGACCATGTCGACCATATCCTACCGTAGGCTTATTATCAAGATATTTATCTCTTTTAGCTGACTGCATGATTTGTTTTCAGTTACCTGTATAATAACAAGCTTACAGTAATCCCGGAAAGTTTGTTCAAGGGTCTCACTAACTTAGAACAGTTGTAAGTATCCCGTACTGTTTGGGTCGTTTTTTTTTTTTCTTGTTTGCAACTTTACGTAGTGATTGCTTTTACTCAAGAACATTTTCCGTATGACTGTGAAAACCTTGATTCCGTAATCGTGCCTTGCTGGAACCGTAATGTTTTCTCGCACAATGTGATTGGTCTGGCAGTGCCGCGACCTTGGCGTGACCGTGTCCGCGCTGTATTTTTGCCGCATTTCGGGTTTTTGATTGGATGGAGAGTAAGTTCTCGCACGATATGATTGGGCTGGCTATGCCTTGCCGTGTCACGACCGTACGTGTTCGTGCTGTGAGCTTTTAACAGTCATACGAAAACTGCCCTATGTTGCAAACATTGTCTTGCCTCACCATCATTTTGTCTTCAGATATTTGCATTTCAATAAAATAAAGAAAGTTGAGCCAAACACGTTAAGGAATCTTAGGCGACTTGAAAGATTGTAAGTATCCCAGGTGAATTCTTTCCACTTGACCCACACATACATTATATACTTTAACATGATATATCTCAGATCTTCTCCTGCATCGCCCTTCTTTGCTTCGTTCATTTTTTTCCAAACCGCTTTCATTCGCATTGAATCAGCTTTGTTTGCAGAGAATAGTCCCTTTTCTCATTCAGTAAATACGGCTGTGTTTTATGACTTAAGACCCATCTACACACCCATCTAGAAAAAAGCTGCGGGAAAGCAACTGACATTAGAGATCTTTAGCAAGACGTAAAATGCAGTTTGACGTCAGGCGTTTTCCTTCAAACTTTCGACATTTATCAAGGCGTCATAACGAAGTTATCGTTGGAAGATTGGCCTTATTAAATTTCATTAATGCCGAGTGTTTCTCCGTGTTTGCAGGCGTTTTTCTGGGCCTGATTCCTAGCGGTTAAAGGTTAGCGGTTAGCGGTAAACAGGATGCTAAAGGTCTCTATTTTGACTGCACACACGGCTAATATGATTTGATGATTACTTTGATTCCACGATTTGGTCCATGTTATCAGTCTTGACTCATGAAATAATCCTAACATTAAGACAATGCATGATCAGGAATGTCTAGAACTGAGAGTCCATCTTTATTTTGCATTTGCTTGCCAATTTTCTTGTTTTCTGTATTTTATAGATATATCCATCATAACGAGCTCAGAACCCTCCCAAAAGGTCTATTTCAGGATTTAACTTCCTTGAGGCGACTGTGAGTACCTCACCTTCTCATGCCAAATCTCTTTACTCTATGTGCCATTGCAGCTTCTAGGCCCGCTAGGAATCTTCAATAAATGCGTACATCAAATTATTTAACCACGTGTCATTTCCTAGAGTATCCTTTCTTTGTTAACGGTTGCGCATGAGAAGACACATGAATATAAATACAACTCAAACAAAGAATCTTATTCTCAAGGGAATGACACGTGGCCTGAAATGGGCAAAACATTACGTCCAAGGCAAAGAGGTCGATGGAAAGCGCAAAACATTAGGCCCATTCTCGATCTATTTTAATTGAACGTGTAAACAGCAGAGCCCGGTTGTACGATGGGTGGATAGCGCTATCCGACGGATAAATCTTTATCCAGTGGATACTTTCATTGGATAACGACAGGGCAGAAAAACGACATCAAGCCCGCTACTTTCACGATTTTTTATTTATAACTGAGTTTAATACTCCAAATTTTTAAGCGTTTCATTTGTGTCACTGCTGCACGAAACTTGTGACGAAATTTTGTCAAATTATTAGAGTAAATCTACTTAGTATTCACGAAAATGTCAGTTTTTCTGCTGATCAAAATGTCACCTCTCCCAAAGTACAAGTCTTTATATCTCAAATACGCATTCAATAAATTTTGGTCGCATTTGATATTTTGCTATTTGGCTCCAAAAGATCGTGTTTACAAAATATTGAGCTTAAATACGT